TTTCGTAGATTATCTTTTATTCATATTTAACATTTTTATTTTTTTTATTTAATATTTTATTTTAAATTTATTTATTTATTTTGCTAATAGTTTTTTTTTTTTGTTTCCACAACTTCAGAAATATTCTCTGAAAATCGAAACGAAAACTCAGAGCAAACAAAACATTCTCCAATCAGGAAACAAACACACACACACACATATATATATATGTGTGTGTGTGTGTGTGTGTGTGTGTGGAATATTTTTTTCCCTTATCTCAAATGTATTTTCTACAAAATATATTTTTGGGTTCTCGCTTCCTCGTATGCAAAAATCTTTAATATTTTTTCGTACCGCTTTTCAACTTGGTCCAGATTCCTACGAAGTGAGCGTTACACGGGAATAACTGACAGCAATTTTCTCTCTTCTGGAGAACTGATTGATTCGTTTGTTTTTTTTTTTGTTTTTTTTCACGGTTTATCAATCTTTTTTTGCAGATTATTTAAAGCCAGAAAATATTTTTATATTGTAAGAATTTGTTTTTTGGCGGGGGGAGACAATAAAGATTCTTTTTTTTTTTTTTAACAATTTTTAGTATTTAACCCATATCTGGGGGGAGAAGATGCGAATTCATACATTTCCCCCAAGATAAGTGAATATAATGACACATAGAATACAAAGTATTCCTAAAGTCTGGACAGGTAAGCAAAGTTCATATTTTAAAGAAATTAAATTTTCAGCAACATTTTATTGCATTGGAATATTAATAAATAACATCTTCAATATGATTTCTATCATCCATGATGCATAGATTGATGCGCTTTGCAAGATTCATGTGAACTCGATGCAATGACTACATATTGCTCTTAATTATAGCACATTCACTTCTTCATGCGTCCAATCAAGTGTGTTGCATCTGTGATTTTCATTGAGTACACCTTCTTCATTTACATACATCAGCAAAAGCATTGAATTTATTCTTTTGATAGAAAATCATGGGAAATTTGTAGCTTAAAAGCAGTAATTCTACTTTGGTAACCAGACGCTTCCTGTATAGGAAAATACATAGCACTTCAGGTTATAAAAAGGTTCGCTGTAAAAATGAAAAAGAAAAAGAAAATGAAAAGAATTCTATTAGGTTCCAAAATTCTTATGTGTATGCTTGTCGAGCATCAATCTCGCTAAAAAAGGGGAAATATTAAAGAAACCAGGTCTAGTATTCGACAAGCATACACATAAGAATTTTGGAACCTAATAGAATTCTTTTCATTTTCTTTTTCTTTTCATTTCAAAATAATTACAAACTTTTAGGAATACGTTATGAAAGCGTCGCCCATGTGACGACAGCGTGACCATGTTAGACGGAAGGCTGATCATTTTAAAATTTTCAGTTATCTGTTCTGAATAAGACTTGTGTTTTTATGTCCATCGTATTTGTCATATTGAACTGAATTGTATTTTGATGAATATTGTCTTGAAAAGGTTTAATAAACCGAAACGTCAGACGTCGACATTTCTTTCATTTAACTACATTTAAGGATTTTTGTTTGTTTTTCAAAATTTCTTCATTCTGTCGGATTTATATCCATTTACACTTGCTTATACACACACACACACACACACACACATATATATATATATATATATATATATATATATATATATATATATATATATCGTTGGCCGTTGGTTGAAAAGCGTTTCGCATCGCATTCAAAAAACTGTTCAATACGCGTCAAGTTAGATTTGGTCGAGATCAAAACAAGCAAATAAAATGCGCGCAACGTCACGACCTAACATGCGCAAGTGAGATATTTGCGTGGTTGTCTATAACGATTTTTACGAGCGCGTCAATAACGGCAAACGCGTTCAGGAAACTTTCATTACGGATAGAATTAACTTAATGGAACGATCAATTAGCTTATCTTCATACCCTGCCTGGTGGCAAACGCTGCTGGTGGCGCCATGGGTGGCGGTACCGCCATAGCCACCGAAACCGTGATATCACCCCTGGTCGGCGGCTGATGAAGACAGGGTATCACACATGCTAACACACGTTATATATATATATATATATATATATATATATATATATATATATATATACCAGTTATCTGTTTTACTCTTGGATAAGACTTGTGTTTTTTTATGTCCATCGTTTTCGTCATATTGAACTGAATTTGTATTTTAATGAATTTTGTCTTGAAAATGGTTTATTAAAACCTCTGACGTCGACAATTCTTTCATTTTAACTACATATATGGATTTTTGTTTTGTTTTCAAAATTTCTACATATATATATATATATATATAGCATAATGAGAAGCCACGTATACTTTCTTAATATGTGTATATAGAAAAAAGTTCTTAAAAAAAAAAATAATAATTTTTTTATGAAAGTATTTATTTATTTATATATATATTTTATATATATTTGATATTTTAGATTGACCTCAATCTTTCTTCAGAAATATCTGTTTGTTTAAAATTTCCGTCACGGACACGTCACGTCATATGGAACGCCACTGAGTTCAAATATTCTGAAAGTAAATCTAACTAATAATATTTTTAGATGTTGTTTAATAAAATTTTTTATATCTAAAATATTTAACTATTGAAATTTAAAGACTTAAAATACCCAATAATATATATATATAATATATATATATACGTTTCATTAAATAATATAGACAAGTATTTATTTTATGTAAATTTTTCAGTTCATATAAATTATCATTAAGCGAAAAATTCAAATATTGATCCATATTCTTTTTATATAATCTAAATTTCGGCTTACTTTTGTATCAAAGATATAAATTACAACATTTTAAACAATATACGGACAAGACAGTGATGATAGTCTGTCATTGTTTACATAGATAATCTCTAAGCAACGATAAACACGCGCATATAAGACGCTAGAAGTAAAAATCACACCGCATCTCATGACGTCACACATGACCACACGCGAGTGAATTGGAGAATGAAGTATGGAAAGCCGTTGGTATAAATATATATCCCTAACGTCTGGAAACATAGGCAAAAATATATATTTTCATGAAATTAAATTTTTAACATTTTATTGAGCTGGAATATTAACAAATAACATCTTCAATATGATTTACATTATTTATGATGCAAAACTTGATGCGCTTTTCAAGATTCACGTGAAATCGATACAATAACTGCATATTGCTGTTAATTATAGCACATTCACTCTTTAAGCGCCCAATCACGCGTGTTGCATCTGTGATTTTCATTAAGTACACGATCTCCTTTTTACATACACTATCAAAAAAAAAAATTCAATTCTTTCTTCTTTCGGCCAAACCATGTTTAATCGGTGGAGGTAAAAAAAAAAAACACAGTTAATGAGATTTCCTGTGTCCAAACTTTGGGGATTTGACTAAACTCTACGTCATTGGTTTATGCTTAGCAAGGTGCGTCTAGTTGGCCATGCATAGTGAGTTCGAATCTGACAAGTTAATTAGTTTAAAATTCGACAAGTAGCCAACTTGTATTGATATATCGTAAAGGTACGTTACATTTAATTCACTATATCACATCAGTGAACCTGATCTGCATTGAATTTACCCCACCCAGCCTCCAGTTCTAATAGGTATATGGTGATTTTCGAAGCGTAGCGTAGACGTGGCACTAGGCCGGAAGGATAGGGCACCCATTGAGGATCGATCTCAATACTCAGTTGTGTTTGTTCTAGGGAGACAAGCTTTCTAAACATTACCCCCACGCTCTAGGTGCCTATTCTAAGTATATAGGTGTTATACCGGAACATTACCCATTCTATTGTAATATACTCTCCCACGCATAATAAGTAGTAGTAGCGGTCACCAGTTGGGCTCAGTGGCATCTCGCGGTCTTTGACTGCGCGCGCCTCCTGTCGACGACTCTCTGCGTTAGCCTGAACCCGTCTAATCGGGGAACCAGACGAGGCTTTGCCGAAGGGCAAGGTTTCGTCCGGGGAAGGGCAAGATAATCCGGGAGGTAGGGCCTGAACCCGTCTAATCGGCTTCAAAGGCTATTTTTTGGCCGAGCCTACGGGCTCGGGGAAACCCTAATAAAACCGGCCTTGTGGCATATTCGTTTCCCGTGGGTGAAATGATAAATACTCAGTAGCGTTGAGCGGTCTTTGACTGCGCGCGCCTTCTGTCGAACTCTCTGCGTTAGCATTGAGGTACCCGGACGAGGCTTTGCCGAAGGGCAAGGTTTCGTCCGGGATGGTAGACAGGGCCTGAACCCGTCTAGGCGTGTTCAAAGGCTATATTTTTGGCCGAGCCTACGGGCTCGGGGATACCCACATTAAAACCGGCCTTGTGCCATATTCGGTCCTCGTGGGTGGAACGATAAATACTCAGTGGTGTTGAGCGAGTCAGTCGATGTCGGACATTAAAGTATCAACCACCACAACTAGATTGCTGCGTCATTAACTATTATTTCAAGTTCCTAACGTTTTGTACGTCGGACCTTTTTTAGGAGCGACTTATTGAAATACAAGCCTCCACTGTGAAAACTACTCTACAACAATAGGCCACAATATTTGACCGGACACTTAGCTTAATGTCTCGCACCTTTCACCTGTGGAACTCCCTCCCGTTTTCTTGTTCCTCTGATAATTATAATCTCCAACTATTCAAATATAATCGACGTCTCCAGATGCCCTGATATATCCCCTATCCTTCTCTTCATCCTTTCCTCTATCAGTCCTCTTTGCTCTCGCTCCAACTCTCTGTAACCCCTTGCCTGCCAGTGGCTTCCCGCCTTGCTTGGGGTGAAACGCTTAAAAATAAAAAGAAAAAAAAAGAAAGAAAAAAGACAGAGCAGTATATATTAAATTTTAATCGCTATATACTATTTGGCTCACTCACATTCACTTACGGATATGATATATTTAACAGCGGCTCAGATTGAGAAATATGATTGAGGAGTTCCATATCCAGTCGAGGTTGTTGCATTCAATTACGCGCAGATATTCTTGTATAGGAATCCATGTCTTCCTGTTAATGTTATCCCGCCTTCACCACTTCCCCTCCTGTCTTCATTTCTTTCTTAATTTATTATTTCCTTCCTTTCTCTTCCTTCCTTTTCCCTCCACTCCCCCTAATTTCATTCCTTCCCTTTTCCGTCCTTCCTTCCATCTTCACACGTTTCTTTCTTTCTTTCTTTCTTTCTTTTATTCATTTCTTCCTTTTTTTCTTTTCCTCCTTCCTTTCTCCGTTCTTGATTCCTTTTACCATACTTCTTCCTCTCTCCCTTTCTTTTTCTCCTCCTTTCCTTCTTTCCTTTTTCGTTCTTACTTCCTTTCTTCATTTTTGTCCTTTCTTTCTTTCTTTCTTTCTTTCTTTCTTTCTTTCTTTCTTTCTTTATTCATTTCTTCCTTTTTTTCCTTTCCTCCTTCCTTTCTTCATTCTTTCCTTTCTCCGTCCTTCCTCCTTTTTACAATATTTCTTCCTCTCTCCCTTCCTTCCTTTTTCTCCTCCCTTCCTTCTTTCATTTTTCATTCTCCCTTCCCTTCTTCATTTCTTTCTTTCTTTCTTTCTTTCTTTCTTTCTTTCTTTCTTTCTTTCTTTCTTTCTATAATACTTTTGCCTCCCCCTTCGTCATTTCTTCCTTTAATTCCCTTCTTTTTTTCTTTTTTCTTTCATCCTTTATTCCTTTCGTCTCTTTCTCCCTCGCTTCACTCCTTTCTTCCATTTTGTTTGTAGCATTCACTTAAGCGCAGATATTTTTTATATATGAACCCATCTCTTCTCCCCCAGCTATAGGCTAAATAGTAGGACAAGCTTTGCTGTTTATCCTTGATAAATAACGGGCTAATCTAGACTTCTTTATGTGTCGTGTTTGCTCAGAATTTAGGTGATTGTGGCTCTCCACAACTTCCTGTACCTTGTAGTTTTAATAAATACTGTCCTTCTGTTATTTCCCCTAAGCCCTGTTCTGTTCTACCATACAATTACTCAAGCTCACTATGTTATACGTTGCTTTCATCTGTCCCTCTTGCCTTTAATCTGTCCTGTGAGTATCAGATTTTCCAAGCTTTCTTTCCTCATTATATTCCATTAAAACCGCAACTGTCACGTCCTGATGGTAAATATTACTTTTCTTTTTGTTTCCATTTTCTCTAAATCTTCGTCGTTGCTCACATATTCGGTCCATGGTATCCTCAGCATCCTTCTGTAGAAATTTCAACTGTCTCTTCCTGATGTTAAGTATAAGTTTCCTTTTTGTTTCCATTTTCTCTAAAACCTCGTCGTTGCTCATATATTCGGTCCATGGTATCCTCTGCATCCTTCTGTAGAATCCCATTTCTGTTGTCTCAGTTCTCTTCATTTTTTAGGAGATCGTGCAGGACTCACTGAAATACAGGAGGACAAATATCACGTTTAATACTCTTTTCCTTGTTTCTAGTAATTTTTTTTATATTTTTAGTACTCTGCTTAGCTTTTAAAGTGCTTCCTTGTCTATCCAAATACGCCTTCGGATCTCGGTGCTGCTTTTTCCGTCCTCTTTTAAGACACTTCCCAGAGATTGAAATCACCGTACTTGTTTGAATTTGGTATCTCCGATTTTCAATTCGTATCCATGTACTAAAAACAATTCTGTCTTCTTGCAGTTGATGTTTAATCCTTTCTTCTTGCTTTCCTTATTACCATCTGTAGGAGTTTTTGTTGCTTTTATCCTTGTCTGCTATCAACAGTGTGTTAGCTTATGATGTTAAGATCATGGCCGCCATTAATGAATTCTGGTAGGACTTAATTTTCTCTCAATATCGCCTCGTTGTATAGATTGAATATATCCAGTAAGAAGACAAAATCTAGAAAATGAATTCATATTGTGATTACATTCTTGGTTTAATTTCGAATTTCTGGTTATATATTGCTTTGTGCATAATCCGTACTTTAACTATTTCAGCTCTATATTTAGTCAAACTCCGTGTCAAGAGAAATGCCATTGTAGAATGTGAATTAATATTCGGCGCATATTCTTGGCTTAATTTTATATTACTCTTCGTATTCTGTTTTATATTGGAATATTTAATCAAAAGAAATGTTTGGATACAATAAAACGGGCCATTCTAGAAGGCAAATTCATCTTTTGCCCACTCTTTTTACTTCATTTCAGGCTGCCGTTCGTATCTTGTTTTGCATATGAACCGTTCTTAATTTCGATCGGACAAAAAAATGGAACAATCTCATGGTAGTTATACTTGAAGAATTTTACCTCAACTGCTTACACTTATCATTAGTCGATGTTTTTTGTTTTTTTATTCGCTATTTGCTAAATGGATTATTTGAAATAAAAAGCAGTATGGGATAATCAGAGAAGAATAAAAATAACCTCCGTTTTGCAAAATCTACAAATACGCACCAAAAAAATGTCGAAGTCCTTCTGCAGTTGTCAGTTAAGCGTTTTATTTTTACTCTCAAGTTGAGAAATATATAAAGGGGAGGAGAAAAATAAAGGAAGGAAGGAAGGAAGGAATGAAGAAATAGAACAAGAAAAGGAGAGAAAAAGGAAGAAAGGAGGAAATGAATAGAGGGAGAAAGCAAGAAAGGAAAGGAGGAGGCAAGAAAGTAAGGCGGGAATGAATGAATGAAGGAAGGAAGGAAGGAAGGAAAAAAGGAAAGGAGCGAAAACCGGAATGAAGGAAGGAAGCGAAAAAAAAGGAATGAACGAAGGAAGAACGTAAAAAAAAAAAGGAATGAAAGAAGGAAGGGAGTGAAAACAGGAGGGAACAAAGGGAGGGAGAAAGGGAATAAATGAATGAATGAATGAATGAAGGAAGGAAGGAAGGAAGGACAGAAAAGGAAGGAATGAAAGCAGGATGGGAGTGAAAACAGGAGGGAACAAAGGGAGGGAAAAAAGAATGAATGAATGAAGGGAGGACAGAAAAAGGAAGAAACGAAAGAAGGTAGGGGGTGAAAACAGGAGGGAACAAAGGGAGGGAGACAGAGAAGGAAAGAAGGTAGTGTCGGATGGAAGGAGGGGAGGCAGGAACGAAGCAAGCGAGAAATAAAAACGGATCGGATAAAGAATGAAAGGGAAGAAAGAAATACAAGAAGAAGAAAAAGGAAAGAAAATAAAAGAAGGAATGACAAAAGGGGGTAAAAAGATGATAAAAAGAAAGGAGTAAAGAAAGAAAGAAAGAATGAATGAATGAATGAAAGGAAGGAACAAATAAAGAAAGAAAGACATAAAAAAAAGAAAGAAAAATTAGAAAGAAAAAGGAAAAATTAACCGCGCAAGAAAGAGAGGAAGAAAGTAAAAAAAAAGATGGGAATTAAATTGAAATAGATAAATAGTTCTGATAAGATAAAAGAAGAAGAAGAAGAAGAAGAAGAAGAAGCAGAAGAAGAATAAATGCGATGAGGGCGTGGAAAGATGAAGAATATGAAGAAGAAGAAGAACAGCAAAAATGGGATGAGGACATGTAAAGATGATGATGAAGAAGAAGAAGAAGTAGAAATTAAATGAGGATTTGTGAAGACGAAGAAGAAGAAATGAGATGAGGACACGTACAAATGAAGAAGAAGAAGAAAAGGGCTGAAGTCATTGAAAGATGAAGAAAAAAAAGATGAAGTAGGAAATGGGATGAGAACATGTGAAGAAGAAGAAGAAGAAGAAGAAAAAGACGACGATGATGATGATGATGAGAAATGGGATGAGGACATGTAAAGAAGAAGAAGAAGAAGACGATGATGATGAGGATGATGATGATAATGAGAAATGGGATGAGGACATGTAAAGAAGAAGATGAAAAGAAGAAGAAGACGACGATGATGAAAATGATGATGATGATGAGAAATGGGATGAGGACTTGTAAAGAAGAAGAAGGAGAAGAAGACGATGATGATGAGGATGATGATGATGATGATGATGAGAAATGGGATGAGGACATGTAAAGAAGAAGAAGAAAAGAAGGAGAAGAAGAAAAAGAAGACGATGATGATGAGAATAATGATGATGATGAGAAATGGGATGAGGACATGTAAAGAAGAAGAAGAAAAGAAGAAGAAGAAGAAGAAGAAGAAGAAGAAGAAGAAGAAGAAGACGATGATAATGAGAATGATGATGATGATGAGAAATGGGATGAGGACATGTAAAGAAGAAGAAGAAAAGAAGAAGAAGAAGAAGAAAAAGAAGACGATGATGATGAGAATGATGATGATGATGAGAAATGGGATAAGGACATGTAAAGAAGAAGAAAAAAAGAAGAAGAAGAAGAAGACGATGATGATGAGAATGATGATGATGATGATGATGATGAGAAATGGGACGAGGACATGTAAAGAAGAAGAAGAAAAGAAGAAGAAGAAGAAGAAAAAGAAGACGATGATGATGAGAATGATGATGATGATGATAAATGGGATGAGGACATGTAAAGAAGAAGAAGAAAAAAAGAAGAAATTGGAGGAGGTCATGTAAAGATGAAGAAGAACAAGAAATGAATGCGGAGAAATGAAGAAGTAGAAGAATAAATGCGATGAGGACATATAGAAAAGAAGAAGAAGAAGAAGAAGAAGAAGAAGAAGAAGAAGAAGAAGGCGAAGAATATTAAATTAGAGGAAAGACATTGATGAGTTAAATTAGACGAAGGAGAAGGAAAAGAAAAAGAGCATGAAGAAGAAGAGAAAGAGACTGAGAAATAAGAAGAAAAAACTAGGACTGTGAAAAATGAGAGAAATAAAAGAGAAGAAAAAACAACAACTAAAAATGAAGAAATTAACAAAGATAATAATAATAATAATAATAATAATAATAATAATATAAAAAGAAGAAAAAAGAAGAAGAAAATCATCAGACTGAAGAAAATCTAGCAGTACTGAAGACGCTAAAATACGTGTCGAGATTTGAAAGAGAAAAAAGAGAAATTAGAAAATAGAATGAAGTTAATAATAATAATAATAATAATAATAATAAAGCAAAGCACTATCAAAGAAGCGGACTGCCATTACAGGTTCAAAATCCTGAAGACAATAATTCGCAAAAACGTAAGAAGAAAACTTGTTGAATAAATGAATTTCTAAGCGAGTCTCACATGTGGCACAAGGCAGAATTTATTGTGGGGTTCCCGAGTCCGCACGCTCGGCCAAATAATCCCCGTAGACACCACATAAACGGGACGGGTTGGTCTACCTCCCTGAACGAGACTCTGCCTTTCGCTATAGCCTCGTCCGGCTTCCTCTCTGTTGGCTCTGTGGGTGTTTAATAAACACAAATATGCCTGAGCGAGCGTCTGCACTAAGGATTGGTTAGCCGCCCTAGAAGACTGGCATACTCGATTACGAGTGGTCAGCTATTATATATATATATATATATATATATATATATATATATAAAAAAAGCAAATATGTGGATATAGATCCGAGACTATGAAGCAAAATATGGAAATTTATGAGGCAGGCATAATATCTATCTCACGCACGGTGAATACTAGACCCGGCTTCTTTAATATTTCCCCCTTTTCTGGTGAGATTAATGCTGGACAAACGTACTTATGAATTTTAGATTAAAGTAAAATTCTTTTTCATTTAAAATATACTCTATTTTAGGAATACGTTTTCACAACATCGCCCACGTGTCGCCGACGTGATCGTATTGCGAAACGGAACGCTGATCTTAAAAATTTCAGTTATTCTGTTTTGATTAGTCTTATGTCTATCGTCTTTTCATGTTGACTTGAATATCGTCTAATTTTAATCAT